GATTTTGATCTCAAAATTTCGGGCCAAGAGATCAAAGCAATGCACTATTCCCTTGAGGGATGTTTTGACAACAATTCCACACGCAGCCCAAATGTAGGCCAACAAATGTGACCACTTATAAGGTCAAACATCAAGGAAGTTTTAATAGCCCAACACTTCAATGCTTGTCACGACATCCCGCTGGGGACCTATCGGCTGTTGACATGGTAACACAATCATGTTGTTACAAATTAAAGTGCAAATCTGTCTGTGTTTTACATGTTTACGTACTTTGTATTGCATTACACTTCAATGAAGAAAGGAAGTTGTAAGAGTACCGTTTTAACATTGAACAAGGAAATGGACTTCAAGGTACACCTACTGTACATGTAGCAGGGTTTGAACCTGCGACCTCCGGATAACCGTTCCGGTGCTCTACCAACTGAGCTATCCAGCCATATGTTGGCGGTTCCCCATTTTGTCAGTGTCTTTGTTCAAGGGGCACCAGTCAGTCTCCCTTCGTGGTTTTTAAAGGGAATGTATGTATGTACATCATTGGCTTATGCTTTAATTTTCAGAAATGAACTATTTGAGGGGTTAGTATAATATATCAAATTATTGTTACACTGACATGTTTGAAGTTTTGTTTTCGAAAATGCTGGAAAAACCAAGAAAAACAAAAATGTTTAAGTAGTCTGGTTCCCTGACTCCACTGAAGATGAAATGGATCAATTTACAGATGCCGGAAAATTGTACGCTAAGGGAACCAGTCTAGCTGACCTGCACCCATTCATGAACATAAAACCAATTAGCAAACAAAATTGGACTGAAAAAAAAAGGTAAATTTGGAGCAGTAGTGAAAAATAGTTAGGTTTTTCCTACAGTGGTCGGCCGACCACCGTTGGAAATGTAAACAAAAATATAATTTTCTTGAAAATGACTTCACACCAGGTGCCATAATTTTACAGGATGCTTTAGACTGTCATCTACCAACATCCTGTAAGGTATTTCATAAAAACTTGGTCATTTTATTTTTCGATGTTTGCAAATGTTGTATTTTCCCTTTAATTGGAACAAATGTATTGTGTACTTAACTTTTTTATGAATTTATTTATATCGGCCTATTTATTTATTTATTGACAGGCACACAATAAAAGAGAACACTTATAGAAAAAGACAGGCCCAACTCGCCCAAGGATTACCCAAAAGCGAACCAAATCATGTAAGAGCCTCTCCAGACAACAAGCAAATGTACGAACGACAGTTGCATTTTCTGTGACACGTCAACAATGGCACCTTTCATGAATTATTTCCCAAATTATAAAAATGTTTTTGACTGATGAATCAAATGTACATATTTATAAGTATTTAAATCGCATGACTGTGCAGGGGTCAATGCAATTCCTGTGAGAAAATCAAGATTACATTAATTGTTTTCACTGACCATGTAAACTACTGAAAGGAAAAATCCTCATGAAAAAATGATGGACAGAAGCACATATTAACACTCCCTCTCTGGCTGGCAATTTCAACAAGGCCAGCCCAGTAGTCAGAATGAATCAGGTGACTGTTTGTAACAGTTTAGTGCTCCCTGCCTTCATAGTGCAGGATTGACTGGCTGTGATTGTTATGAAATGCTATACTTTGACTGTAGGTGATTGATAAGCCAGCTGTACCTACCAGTCACCTGCTTTTGTCTGTTGATGGAATTTGACTGTCACAGTGCCTATTGAAATATGATCTGACTGTTGGTGACTAGCCTGTGTAAAAGGCATGACAGGGGAACAGGATCGAATTTTTGACTATCTGTGACTGATCAAACAAATGGAGGGCTAAATTTTTATGATAATTATTACAAAATACATGACTGATTAGGCTAAAAAGTCTGCACAACGTGTACATGTACATATACCATACATCCGCACATTATGCAGAGTTTTCGCGAGCACTAACCAAACAGGGCCTGTTGCACGTGAAAATACATGTAAAACAACCAATCCAGAAATGAAGCCAAATGCCTCGTAACTTAGTTTCTATACATTGTACGCAATTTACTAATTGCAATACATATATGGACCGCAATTTGCTGAATAATTGACGATCCTCCGTTTAAATTGAATCCCAACGGACATCGTATTTGATCCTTATCGCACATCAGGCAAATTGCTGCGGCCATCCTTTCAATCACTCGCCCGCGCACCGTGGCCCCCAGTCGATATTCCGTATCCAGTACATGGATCGGAATCCATTATCAACCCCGTACGTCGCCCAATGGCTGCACGATCATGCATCGGAAGCTACGAGCAATGCTTAGGCACACACTCTCCGCAATTAGTTGCTTGATCACACAAGGACAGCGCACAGATAGGAAAATGACAGCCCGATCACACCTATGAAGCCCATGGTTTGGGGCCAACGACACACTAGATTTTCCCTAAAAAAGGGTGAAAACACGTATGTTAACATTTTGGGGGTTTCAGAGATGTATGTACATAAAACATAGATACATGTATTATGAAAAATGTGGCTAAATCTAAGGCTGCAATGCATGTAGTTTGCAAGACAGTTCACGTACACCACATTAGAAAGGGTGAAAGTTCATATCATTTAATAATTTCTGTATGACTACAGAATGGCGTGATTGACATGATTAATCAACAATGATTGACATATTAACCCTAACTCCCTGTAAAAGCATTTTTGCTAGGATGCAACCTGCAAAATCCTCCAACTGCCTCCATGTAAAAATTGCATACAGCTTCAATCCTGCAAAATCCTCCGTTATTTCTTGAATGTGGTCCTTGGAGGGGTGACCACTGCCTCAATCCTGCAAAATCCTCCAGCAATCACTGTCAGTATGTTGAGGCAGAGCCAGTGACATCCTGGAGCAGTGCAGAGGATTTCTAGTAATCTAGTATAACTAAAGCCTACAGGTAAATTTATGCACGGCTGAGCATTAAACAACACAAGGTTTAGCCCAAGACCTTGACACATTATGCATCCTCCAAATCACTATGCACATTTTTGCCACATAAGGTTTTGTAAATTAAATGCAAAGGTTTGAAAACATCTACATGGAATTGTCCTACGAATATGTGTTCCTAGCTCTATGCTCAAAGGAAGATCGCTTGAAAAAAGGTCAATTTTTTATGATCAGGTTTGGTGTAAACGTTTTTGAAAATTTGTAAACGGATTTTATTTTTTTAATTTTTTAAATGTTTAAACGTGTAAACGTCACGTGCTCATTACAAAATGATTGAAAAGAAAATATAAGAACAAATGAAAATGTACAAATATGAATAGCGATCAATTTGTCCAGGTGTACATTGTACATGTACCGGTATTTACACAAGATGCACATGATTGCTGGAACACAAAAAGATAAGTAATCAAAGAGATAAACAATGATGAATGAAATCGGAAATTGAACATTTTCCAAATAAAATGCTCTACATACATGTAGGCCCTAAATACTCTTGCACTGAAATTCCAAACGTAGGCCAACATCTTCAAATATATTTCAGGAGTAAGAAATGCAGGAGTAAGAAATGTGTAAACATTGACATTTTCTTTTCATTACATGTATTTTTATACACATAGTATACAATGTATACATACAGCTTGGCTATTTGATACAATGTGCACATGGGCATGTACAAAAATGTAATGTATTCCAGCAAAGTGCACACTGCCCTTTAGTCATGTTAGTAGTAATGCATACTGCATAAATTCTGAATGCATAATCCTCTATCCACACATCTGCAATGATGCTGACGAGTGGAAATGCCATGGTTCAAGTTTCAACAGCTGAACATCAACACGATAAACGATGATGGCAAAAAAAAAATTACATCATAAATTAGTTTCCCAAAATGCATGAAGCATTGCGTGTAAATATTTTGATATTCTTGTTGAGTTTGTTTACATCACATCCTGTGTAGAGTATATGAATTACAAGTACCCCCTTAGCTATTCGAACTCAAGCTTTAAAAAAAAAATATAAACTTCAAACATGGGGCTACATATGCCGAGGTTACATTCACTTTTGTGGGTTAATTTCTTTTCTTTCCAATTTTTCAGAATTTTTTCGATTACGCCAAAAAAACAAAAAATAGTTCGACCCTAATTTTTTTTATGGGAAAAATCAGGAAAAAACACCCAAAACCATCAATTTCTACCTCTTACCCTTGACTACATGCAGGCACCTCCATATGATCGTACACAAAAAAAATTGGCGAAAAAACAATTCCCTACTTACATTGTACATGACCTACCTACCCTGTTTTCGAATGTCATGTAATCGGAAGCAGGAGCATTTTTTTTTTTTTTTTGGCCTTATCGCAACTCAATTCTGGCAAAATTTCAAGAATCCGAAGGACATGGCCATGACCCACTTCCAGGAACATAATTAAAGTCTATTTTTTTCCTGTTCCTGTTACATCTGACATCTATGATTATTCTGATGCACTTCCTATAAATGCAGTTGTCCTCCAAGAGTGATTATAAATAGCAAAATACATGTATGGGTATGTTCTTACCCAACAAATAAACAAATTGTTTTAAGTCATTCTTAATGATACTTTAACGGAACATTACAAAGTACCAAGGTAACAGGGACGGGAAAAATGTCACACTTTGGACCCTAAATTTATAAAACTGACCCACATTTGAAAACAAAAAATCTGTCACAACTTGATAAAAACAAACATGTCAGTACAGTCGTGAATTTCTATACGCCAGAGGACAATGCTTTGTGTTTCCCTTTGTCCCTGTAATATAACACTCTCCCATAGACTAAGCACATAACTGTACGATTGAGGACCATTTTCAACAAAAGACCCAACGCTCGAGGACTGAAAGGATCTTTTGTTCTCCCTTTGTGTGCGTGTCCTCTATCGTAAAGCTATACAATTTACGTACATCACACTGACACACTGAGAACGCCAAATTCATTACTGCATTTGTACGGTTGTACCGTACAGTACATGTACATATTGTCATGATTGTAGGCAACACCTCACCTTATAATTCCCAGCCAGCTTTTCAAGATGGCCGGCTCATTCGCCGGTAGCTGATTTCCCAGAGAGAGAGAGACGAAAGAGAGTGATGAATTTCCTGTCTTCTCGCACAGAGAGATGAAGCGATTCGACCGCCGATTCCTGAGTGGTTCAGGGACGACCGCAGACCCCTGGATACTGTCTTGCGCTTCTCCACGCTCCGTTAATCAATGATGCGTAGGAAAAACTGACGCGAGGAAGAACGACAAGCGACCCGAAAGGCCGGACGAAGCAGCTTGATGAGGACTCTTGGCAAGGCTTCCAACACTGTAACCTTTCTGCAAAATGGATAAATGTATTGGATTGTAGTTGCCTTAATTAAATGCACACGTACAGTATGTAATTTAGGTTGATACAATGTGTGTTGAATCAATTACACGTATAGATCTACGTGTATCCTTTTATTTCTTGTAAAACAAACGGCTGAACTGGACCTCTCGAATAATTTATTAGGTCTTTTCATAATTTATTAGCTGACATGTAAGCAAATTAAAAGAGTGTGTAGAGCTTGCATTTTAATTGCTTTCTGCAAACTAATGCAAGCGCCTCAGCATTTTAAACATATAAGATCAACAAGTTAGCAACTGAAAGGGAAAACGCTCCTATTTTTCCCATTTAACATTATTTTCAATTTTTGTTTTGCCATTTTGAAGGGTATTTTGGTGCCTTTTTGGTTTTTAATGCTAATGCGATTTCCATAGTCACGAGCAAAAGTGTGATGTCATTTCAGGCAGAAACCTCCATGTAACAGCTATTTCAGCACCAAAAGTTGCCAGAATATTTTTAATTTTCTTTTCTTTTGGTGATTCGCTGTTGTGTCATTACATTGCAATGTGCCAATGAGCAAGCTTTTCTAACAAACGTTTTCAATGAACAATTTTTGGGCTCACAGTTTGAACAGAAAAACCCTAAACTGAACAGTGTCTTCCTGAAAAGACATCACAGGAGCAGCGCCCTCAGTTGTCTGGAAAAGCATCGAACATTTTTTAATAAATACACTTTTTAAAGGGAATATACATCATTTGCCTTTGCTGTAATTTTCAGAAATGGATGGAATTGGAGGGTTGGAAATATATAGCAAATATAGTTACACTGACTTTTTTGAGGTTTTGGGTTCGAAAATGCTATAAAAACCAAGAAAAACAATCAAAACAAAGGTCAGGGAACCAGTCTAGCTGGCTTGTAACCGTTCATAGGTGTGTAATCGATTGCAAACAAGTGCGATGGTCAATTGGGATTTGAAAAAAAAGCCAGTTTTTTCCAACGCTGGTCGGCCGACCAGCGTTGGAAATTGATACAAAAATACCACTTTTCTTGAAAATGACAGTATACCAGGTGCCATGATTTTACAGGATGCTTTACACTGTCATTCACTAACAGTCCAGCAAGGTATTTCAAAATGATTTGGTAGTTTTATTTTTTGATGTTTGCAAATGTTGTATTTTCCCTTTAATATAATTATCCAAAAAGGGATGTCAAATAGTTTTCATACAATTAAGGAGTAGAAAATTGCACAAAATCATAAATGTGTTCCTCAGAAAAAATTCATCACATGGCCCTTTAAGTATTGTCTTGTACCCCAAAATATTTTCTTCTAGTATTTAAAAGAAAATGCCTTTTTTCTTTTTAGACATTCAGTAGTGTACGTACATGATCGACACACTCTTATGGGAAAAAGGACCTTTTTAATCCATCGTTTAATCCATTTGACCTCTGAATTGGCTATAAATTGAAAAATGATAGGCCTAATTGTGTACAGTTACGAACAATTTCTTCTCATAAATGAAAAATAAGACGTGTTTGAATCCCTGAGAAGTGTCGAGATGACACGGAGACACCCCTCTGGCAAACGCCATGGCAACCAGACAAATTCACAATGAGGAACAGAGGCGAACGATATGTAGTTTCGTTTTGCATAGAGTGGCTCCGGACTGCGTTTTCATGCAGCGCTCTGCTGCATGCGTGGTTTCCGTTGTGTTAGGCCCAGGTGTGCTTTATTCTAATCAATGGATGAATTAGTTTTGATTGGATAACAGCCATGGGTTGATTGAAGTGTGCTTTCTACGTTTAGCAGGTTTTATTTGTTTTTCATTTTGCGCTTGTTTGCTGGAAGGATGGAGAAGTGGGGGGGGGGGCCTTGCCTAAGGTCTGGCAAATAGCCAGGCTTTTCGTAATCTCATTTTTGAAATACACAATAAAAATATTTGATTTTTTTTTTGGTAAATTGAATATAAAGACTCTGATTGAACATTAAACGAGATGTACATTCAACTTTATACAGAAATTAATTAAACTAGCTCATTCAATCTCAGAATTTGTAGATTTTTTCATTTCAAGCAGGTTTCATTTTTTTTTTAATCCTGGACACATTTGCATGTCATTGTCTATTTTTTCCTTAAAAAATAAGGTTTTAAAGCTCATCTATAGATTGTCAATATAACGGCCAGCAAACTTAATAATTAGATTTTTTCAAACTCATCAATCTATCACTCTCAATTGTTAATTCTGTTCATACTACTGATTGATTGTTGACACATTTTTTTATTTGTCCAATTTTGAATTCTTGAAGAACATGAATGTTCTGGGTTAAGGGACATTCAAATTGTGGTTGTGGGGTTGGGTTGGATTGTTGAGGATCAATTTTTTTTTAAGTCATTAACTGAATAAAGACTAACTTATCCTCACACACTTTTAATATGCAATACAACTGAGGGGCCCTAAAACATTCAACAACAACAACAACAAACAGAAACAAAAACTAGCAAACAAAAACAACATTTTGTTAAATGTTGGTTTTTTTTTGACTTTAAATCATTTGCAATCTGCGAGTTGAATCTAGACAATCACGGCCAAGTTGCTGAATATACTCCTTACAATTTTCCTCCAAGGAAAAAAATCCTCGTCAAGTCTTATAAAAATAAACAAATAAATAAAAATTCACACTATTTGCAAAGGGTTTCACAAGACTATAAACTCTGTAATGCAATCTGCAAGTTGAACCCAGACAATCATGGCCAATTCGTTGGATATTCCTTCCACTTTTCCCCAGAGAAACCCAAGTCTTATCAAAGCAATCGTTTGAACAGCGATGCCACAGGACAGATCAAGTGGGCATGTTTTCATTTGAGGGATCTTTGATTTCTCAGAGTCCGTGAATAAACACAGAGGACTCTTGGAATTTAATTTGATTGCAGTTGGTGGGTACGTCAATCTGCCAAGTGCGGCAATGTTTGTAGTAGTGCAGTGTCTTCAAACAGTCTAAAGAAAAATGCGACACGTACGGTACATCGATTTCACTCATAAGAGTATACGGGTACATGTAGTAGAAGCGCAAGCATGGAGCTATCCGTTTTATAGCTCCATGGTACAAGTGAACATTTTCCAGGGTTATTCAATAATTTTAGGGTCCAAAGTGTGACATTTTCCTGTCCCTGTTACCTGGGTACTTAGTAATTTGCCATTCAAGAATCGTTTATTATTAGAATAATTACAAATGATATTTTAATTGTTGGGGGGGGGGGTGTAGTTTGCTATGCATAACCAGTCTTGGAGGACGACGGCATTAATAAGGATGGGGGTGGATGTGGGGTGGGAGTGGGGGGGGGGGGGGAATCACAGCCATATAAAGGACTGTAGCCAGCTATGATCACAATCCCTAGTCCAGTGTACATGTAGGACCTACAGTCAATGCCCTGGTACAATGGACAGGTCACATTGTGTTAGTGATAGTTGAGATTGAAAAGTAAACAACATTCTTGGTTTACTAAGCATAGAGCTAGCCAGACTGGGACTTTGAGTGCTAAAAAACATGCAAAACGAAATCAGGCTAACTTACTCACTCTTTAGCCAGCAAAATTCTCCAAAATGTTCATTGTAATGGGCAAAGAAAAGGTCCTCAGTATTTCAACAACCAAGTTTGCAGACTCAAATCAATTTTTAAAGGAGACTTTCCTTCAATATTTTGCACATGGGAGGGAATTCAAGTGATTTTAAAATGAGGCTAAAGACTAGACTTGTAAGCCTACAAGTCCAACCATGGTCCAACTGTTTGAAAAGACTGACCTCTTCATTCGTTGTCATTAGTCTGGTGGCTCACTATGGAGAAATGTGTAGAAATAGAGACTAGTTCCACACATGCCAGATATTTCTTTTGGCACAGTCACAGTTGATTGATGCAGTACTGAAGGGTTGTTGGACTGGTTGTTTCAGGTGCCAGTCTATTTTCTCGTATGTTTTCAATACCTTAAGTTTGGGACTTTCAATCTCATGTATCCCGAATTTTCGGATTAAGACTAGCCAGATGGAGATTGCAACACATTATCTGATCATTAACGGATTTCGAGAATTACACATTATGCAGAACTTGATGATATGACCTACATTGTGAATGTTCTGATAATTTTCTTACATGTATATTGATACACACTTTCTTTGTTCATGGCGGTAGGGTTTGTTGGATCAGTACATACATGAAGCTGTGTACAATACACATGAAAAAAAAAGTGTGAACAGTGTACAAACAACGTGAACACAACTACACATACACGCACATTTGTTTATGGTGTAAATCGAGGATTTTCTTTTGTTCCTTTTCCCTTTTCCTTTACTTTATTGCAACAACTCTCATTAGTTTTGTACACGTTCTCTAACCGAGGAGTCCTTGATTCGGTTTCTGACCTCGACTCATAGAAGATGTTGCACGTGTGTGTCCTCGATTTACACCATAAACAAACGCACCATGTACATACCAATCCAATAATAAAAGTGTCTTTGAACATCATTAAAATCCCAAATAGTTGTGGGTTTACTATAAAAACAAGGCAGTGGATATTTAGCCAGCGTCGGCTTTCTAGTAATTGATGTATTATGTCGGCACGGCACTGAACATGCACAGTGACTGTGTTTTAACCTTGACAAATCTTAGTCTGGTTCCACGCCAACATTGTTGTTGTGACTTCGTATCCACGAGATGAGAATCAGACTATTTACAATTAATTTCGGACTTTAGGCCCTACATGTATCTCCCTTTAAAAAAATCCTCCGAAGTCATGAATTCAAAAAAAAAAAGACAATGTAATACTTTGCAAATAAATGTATGATTCAATTAAAAAAATAAAAGAAGAATATTCTTAGTTTTTGAGATGAAAAAACCAAAAACGAATATGTAGGATGAGCGCGACAGGGGTATTGTAGTTTTGTACCTGGAATCGCTCAGTCACTTTATCAGAAGCGCCATTCATTCTGTCATCTGCTGCTCAAAAAATGTTGTAATACACTTAGCCCGACTGCGTCTGGCCGTACAGTACTATCCCAAGCTCTGTAGTACGGCCAGACGCCCGATGCTTCCACAGAGACTGAATTTTGTTGGCCGCCGATGTAGCGATTTTGCTACATCTTTCGATCGCGATTATCTTTTCATCCAGGACACAAATTTCCAAAGTTAAGGTTCGTAGTCGTAGAGCAACTCATACCTTTTCGAAAAAACGTTGTTTGGTCTCAATATTTTCATCCATCTGGCCACAAGACGAATTTCAGTCATCAGATTCCACAAATATCGTCCCCCATGCGATTCCCCATGCGATTTCAAAATGGCGGCCGCGCTGTAATGTATGCAATATGCAGGCGCCCCCGCGCAAACTCATGAATATGCATAAACAGTCTGTGACGTATGACCTCGTGTTTTTGGACGTACGGCCCCGCTGCACGCACGTCCAAAAAACACGAGGTCATACGTCACAGACTGTTTATGCATATTCATGAGTTTGCGCGGGGTGCCTGCATATTACATACATTACAGCGCGGCCGCCATTTTGAAATCGCATGGGGGATCGCATGGGGGACGATATTTGTGGAATTTGATGACTGAAATTCGTCTTGTGGCCAGACGGATGAAAATATTGAGACCAAACAACGTTTTTTCGAAAAGGTATGAGTTGCTCTACGACTACGAACCTTAACTTTGGAAATTTGTGTCCTGGATGAAAAGATAATCGCGATCGAAAGATGTAGCAAAATCGCTACATCGGCGGCCAACAAAATTCAGTCTCTGTGGAAGCATCGGGCGTCTGGCCGTACTACAGAGCTTGCGATAGTACTGTACGGCCAGACGCAGTCGGGCTATAATACACTATACATGTACAAGTAATATAGAATCATTATGATGTACTCATCTATAGTCAAAGAAGGCGCTGTAAGATCTCTCCGGCTTAATATCATTGACTAAAAGAATGTAGATTAAAAATTGAATATTAATGTTCTACCATAAAAATCTCAAAACGCTTTACAAAATATCAAAACCACAAGTCTTTTCGCAATTTCAATGCATGTGTGCACATCATGATTCACGATTAGTTTTGAAATTTGAGAGATAAACAACTCGCCACATACGAGCACATTCTTGCTTTAAAAATTAAAGTAAATGCAAAATTTGATTCCAATTTTATGCAAACAAAAGCTCCCATCTTCTTCCTGCATGTCCCCCATTGACTTTGCGTGCATTCATCTGCTTTGTTTATAATTATATTTCATAAAAAAAAATTATAAACTGTTGTTGTCATGGTAACTGATGGTCGTGCACACGCGCAGTTGAACTTGCGTAAAGGCTTATTTTCATTTAAAATAAAAAGAAATGCAAAATGTTAAAACAAGGCAACTACTTACATCTTTGATGATCGATAATGGGGCCCTACTTCATCCTCATGATCCTGGCTTCTTTATGCAACAACACCCTTTTCCTATGAGAGCTGAGCTGGATAAGTGGATTGTTTATTTAGAGTAGATTTCCATTGAAGCGCACATCCCACCGTTCCCACGTTCTCTTGATTACATAAACATTGCAGCACATTCCTAGCCTAGGCCTCTGCATCAGCTGGAATTAAAAACAGGTGCATAAATAGATCCCACTGGTATCCTTCCGGTTAGGAAGTAGAAAACAATGCCCTTGGTCCGCCGGATACCAGTGACATTCATAAACAAATTATTTCAAGTGAACGAGGGAGGGCGCGCTTTTGAATTAACGGTGTCGTCACTTGAGTAGTTGTCGTCACTTTGCCGGTTGTTGGCACCCAAATGTGCGTCCATTGAAGAGAAAGGTTACAGTTTGAATTCCATATGTGTTATTTTATTCAATGTGTTATTTTATTTATAAAAAAGATGGTTTTATGAACATAATGGTATGTAGGCTTTTTAGCAACAGCACCAACGACGTTTGTCTAAGATAAGAGTGCGCGTAGCGCGTTTTTTTAATTATTCCAAATTGCGCGCGTCAAACAGAAACTTGCATTCGTCACGCGCGCTCACTATATAATGTGCACAAAACACAAGGTGAAATGTTACTACACGTACGTCCGTACATTCAGACGTTTACAAATGGCGTCCGCCAATCGACTCGTACGGCGTTGGTCGCAACGAAACATATCGTTTAAATTTTGGCGGGTATGTTTGAAAATTCGATTGTCAGGGACGGTTCAGTGTTCAAGGTAGAAGCACAGGACAATGACGAACCAGCTGAGACTCCACATTGTTTTCATTTGCCTGCAATTTTCTACCTCCATACTTGCAGGTGAGTACTACTCCTAGAACTATGAGGCTCCGCGTGCTCCGCTCACGCGGAGCCTCATAGTTCTAGGAGTAGGTGAGTACATGTACTGATGTAGGTAGGCTAGGCCTAGGCTGAAACCAACAGGCCTCAAACTCGGGAGAAGTGTTATCCCAGGTTGGACGGCTTCTGTTCTTCATTGCATTCCTTCCTTAACGTATTGCGGTAAGGGAGTCCACCGTGCTAGGAGAAGTGTGTCCTTGTGTACCTTGGCCTAGTACTAGGCCTATATATTAATTTAATTAAAGGAAGGCCTATTTCTAGCCCAGGTTGGACTACGTCTTCATTGCATGTACAGGCCTAGTCGCACTCCCTATTAAGTATTATTATCGCGGCATTCCTATTATCGCGGCATGGGAAATTTCTCTTTTTGCGTTGCCAAAACTCCTTCAAGTGGCGATTTTTATCCAGTTCACCAGTCATTAAGGACTTTTTGCCGAGTTGTATAAAAAGGACGATTAAACAATGTTGTGTCTCAGTTCGGGACTTTTAACGATTTTTTATAAACATTTTCCCTCAGTCACTGTGTCTGCTAAAAGGTACCGTCTATATTTTAACATAAATCTTTAATGGTGCTCTGTCCATAAAAGTTCCATTGTCTGGTTCCCATTCTTCAGCTGCAAATGTAAAATGTAGTCGAAGGACGATTTTGCACCGCGAAATCGTAAAAACATTTACGGGATCAAAATAACTTAAGCACAGCGCGTTAACAAAAATAAAACGGCACACCGTGTAAAGTGAATGGCGCCCCCAATCGCCAATCAGTAGACTTGCCTCAGTGATTTGTGTTCTCCTTTCGGGGGAAGGGCAGGGTCTTAAGAAATCATCCTGCAGACATATAGTCTTTAATCAACTTCAACGTTAATAAATGTAAGACTTTATTCAGGGGATGTTTTGATCAAACATTAACTATGAATAAAAAAAAGTTGAGATCATTATAAAAAACACTTTGAGTCCGCCTCCGTTCGCACACTCCGAGCATGTCTATTTTCACAGGCATCGTACACGGAATAAACCACACCTCTGTCAGATTTTTTTATATTAATTTGAGAAGGAAGAGTTACACTTCACAAAAGACAGGACAATTCGGGAAGGTTAGTGGGCAATCTCTATTCCGAACGAGAAACGCGTGATAAGTACCGCGATAATAGGACAACCCATCCTACAACGGAGTCCAACCATGGGCTAGCCTATTTCTAAGTTCGCTCATGGCACTACGAACCATGAGTGTCTTCTTTTAATTTACTCAGTACTAGTGAGGCAGTATTTCTTGAGATATTGCCCAAACCATGAGTGTCTTCTTTTTACTCAATACTAGTCAGGCATCGGTGTTGACGCTGTGTAAGTTGTTCTGTGTCGTTCGGTCATATTATTCTTGTTGTTTGGCGATTTCTCGTGACATTTAACTCGCGATCGTGACATAGCCTATTATGAACAAGTAATCGCCGGAATTTTGAGTTAATACATTTAGTATTTCTCGATATATTGCCCGAACCATGAGCGTCTTCTTTTTACTCAGTATTAGTGAGGCATCCGTGTTTACGCTGTTTCGGTAGTAGTGACCACTGTGCTTGTGGCGCACCCTCTATCGAAAAAAAAATAGTATTTAACTGCTTGGTACATTTTGTCTCCGTGTGTAAAAAAAAAAATAGACGGAAAAGTGTAGATGGAATAAGTGGTTGGCGTAAAAGAATGCCCTTTAAACAAATCGAACAAAGAAACTTCTTTGGAAATTTTTGGGTTATTACAAACAACGAGTGGTTTATTGTATTGAACGTGGGCTTATTCGGATTGTTGTTCACGGTTAAAACACTCAGTTGTTCGGTCATATTATTATTCATGTCACGATCGCCAGAACAATTTTACAAGAACTCCCCAAACAACAACAAAAATAATAATATGACTGAACCATTTAGTGAACAACATTCCAAATAAGCCAACGTTCAATACTATAAACCACTCGTTGTTTGCAATAACCCAAACAATTCCAAAGAAGATTCTTTGTTCAATTTTGTTTTCAGGGCATTTTTTACGCCAACCACTTTTTTCATTTACACTTTTCTCTCTATTTTTTTAACGCACGGAGACAAAAATGTACCAAGCGGTTAAATACTATTTTTTTTTCGATAGAAGGCGCGCCACACGCACTGTGGTCACTACTACCGAAACAGCGTCAACACAGATGCCTCACTAGTACTGAGTAAAAAGAAGACACTCATGGTTCGGGCAATATCTCAAGAAATACTGAATTTATTAAATCGAAATTCCGGCGATTAATTGTTCATAATGTGTCACGATTGCCAGATTAATTTCACGAGAAATCGCCAAACAACAAGAATAATATGACCGAACAATTTAGTGTTTAACCGTGAACAAAAATCCGATTGAGCCAACGGACAATACAGCGTTGTTGGCAATAACTCAAGAAATTCCGAAGAAGTTGCGTTGTTTAATTTTTTTCTAGGGCATTTTTGTACCCCAACCACTTTTTAAATACACGAGTATTAAATATCCATCATCCACAAACTCAATTCAATATTTCAATATTTCCAGACAAAAATTTACAATTAACATTGATAAATGCCTTTGGAAAAAATGTTATCCAATCAATGATTTAAAAACGTCACTTGATTTCATATATATGAAGTCAACCTGATTGGTGCAAGGGTAAATACTGAAGACACTCTAAAGGGGCTTGGCTTGATCACGGATCGTACACACAAGGATTAACGACTCGCCCAACTCCTGGTTAGACGCGTGATAAAGGCCCGTACTGGTGGCAAAATACCATGAATACTTTCCAACAAAGACCACTGCGCGCGGTGGCTTTCAGATTTGCATGGCTTTGCGCCCGATCTGGCGTCGAAGTCTGTTAAGACAGCGAATTATATTTTTGAATATTCATGAGTCAACGTTTTAAGTCTTTATTATCGAATTCTGATAAGTGATAACTACATAACCATGGTAATGCCGAGCACAATATCTTTAGCTTTAAGATGAACAATGAAATGTCACTTTTGTTTCATCGGTTCGGCATCACATCTCTCTAAAACGTTTTAATAAAAGCCTAATTAAAAACGAAATGTAGGTAAACAGTGTTCTCCTCGAAATTTGACGTGTATTTCCCGGGTAAATACTTCATCAATGACGTCAAAAACTGCATCATACTATCTGTTATATCCTGAAGTATTTATATTTTTATAATTTTGGAACAATTATATCTTAAATAAGGAGTAGTTTTGCTTACAGTTTTATGAATTGAGTTTTTATATCCTACATTTTGAAAGTGCTACATGCAAATCTTTAATAAAACAATGGTCCCAATAGTTGGGTTTCGATTTTTCTTTACTCATCCTGTATTCAGCCTGATATCCTGGATCATGCATGTTTCTTTCTTTGATGATGTGTAAACAGAATGATCGTAGAGAATAAAAACCCCTTCTTTTCCCCAAGCCAAAAAGTACTCACTTCCCTAAATTTAAAGATTATTTTCTCCACGAACCAACCCTTGTATGCTCTGTACTACGATCTCGAACTGGACAGTCGTGCATGCGCATACCAAGTAGAAACCGATTGATTTACATTAATTAATTTATTTTTTTATTTATTTATTTATTTTTATTATTACTATTTTTTTCTTCTTCTCTATTTTTTTTTGGGGGGGGGGGCGGGAGGGTGAGGAGAGGGGGTTTATTTGCAGGCTAATTGAACGATACAAGCAAGTGTCCAAGAGAAACCTTTTTAGGCCTACTGCAGATCAGTAAAGTAAGATATTTTGTGTTTCCTTCATATCTACGAGACGTACGTGACTCGTTTACAAATGAAAGTTTTCTGTATCTTTTCCGATTCAGCCAGAGAGTTTGGTTTCAAACCTAATGATCTCTTTTTATATTTAAGAGACACTATTGCCAAAAATGAAAGGTGCACTTCACACTTTAAGATGAATAATATTCTACAATGTTTGTATTGTTAGTCGCAGGCGGCGCGGACTGGGGAGAATGGTCAACCTGGTCACCATGCAACCTAAGTGGATCCTGTCAGATCCGTGACGTCATCGTGACGTCAAACCGCAGCCGTACCTGCAATGTGGGAGGAGACAGCACTGCTAGTTCACAAGACTGCAGAGGACGGAAAACAGAAGTGAGATTTTGTGACTGTGTCAGGAACTGCAGTAGTGGATCTGAGCAATGTAAGAAGAGCCAAGCTGTAAACTTAAAAGACACAACACTATTGACTTTGAAAGATGGCGGGGATTCGAATGGAACAACCAATGGGATCAGGGATGAAAGGTCAAGTACGACAAACCGGAAATTAGCTCGAGATTCTCGCCGAACAAGAGCAGCCGATCTTCTATCATTCCTCTCCGACACACCAGCAAGTTCCAAGAATCGAGAGTCCAAAATTGGAAATTCTGACGATGTAAGGCACTTACTCAGGCTGGCGAGCAAGGCCAAATCGAAAGCAGACAAAGCTGACGATTCCGGGGATGTGCAATTGCTGCAAAACTTCATTCAGGAACTTCCAAAGGAAGACGTCGTTAATTTAGACGATTTGCTGCAGCTGGAAAACACCTCACCATCGTCAAATTTGCCTTCTGTGATAACCAACCAAAATCCTACAAATAAACTTGTAACAGGAACTCAATCTACAGCTCTAGATACTGAACTGGATATCTTGGATCTTGGAATAGAAGAGTTGTTAGCTTCAACAGAAGTGACAACTAGCAAAACAGAAGTGGAAAAAGAAAAAGTAAAGAAACAAGAAAAGGAAATAGAGAAGTCGATATCTTCAACAATAGTTTCAAATAGTGCAAAAGAAGTAGAGGAAGCAGTAACAGAAGAGCCGATGTCTTCAACAGAATTACCAAGTAGCGAAACAGAAGAAAAACAACAAGTAGCAGAAAAAACAACATCGTCAACAGAAACCTCAACTAGTGAAATAGTAGTAGAGGAAGCAGTAACAAAACAGCCGATGTCTCCAACAGAAGTACTTACTAGCAAAGCAGAAGGAGAAGAAGCAGTAAGAGAAGAGTGGATATCTTTAACAGAGGCTCCAACTAGTAAAATAGAAGTGGAAGAAGCAGTAACAGAGGAGCCGATACCTTCAACAAAAGTACTAAATAGAAAAACAGAAAGAGAAGAAGCAGTTAGAGAAGAGTGGATATCTTTAACAGAGGTCCCAACTATAAAAATAGAAGTGGAAGAAGCAGTAACAGAGGAGCCGATACCTTCAACTATTAAAATAGAAGTGGAAGAAGCAGTGACAGAGGAGCCGATACCTTCAACTCTTAAAATAGAAGTGGAAGAAGCAGTGACAGAGGAGCCGATACCTTCAACTATTAAAATAGAAGTGGAAGAAGCAGTGACAGAGGAGCCGATACCTTCAACTCTTAAAATAGAAGTGGAAGAAGCAGTGACAGAGGAGCCGATACCTTCAACTATTAAAATAGAAGTGGAAGAAGCAGTGAGAGAGGAGCCGATACATTCAACTATTAAAATAGAAGTGGAAGAAGCAGTGAGAGAGGAGCCGATACCTTCAACTATTAAAATAGAAGTGGAAGAAGCAGTGAGAGAGGAGCCGATACCTTCAACTATTAAAATAGAAGTGGAAGAAGCAGTGACAGAGGAGCCGATACCTTCAACTATTAAAATAGAAGTGGAAGAAGCAGTGAGAGAGGAGCCGATACCTTCAACTATTAAAATAGAAGTGGAAGAAGCAGTGAGAGAGGAGCCGATACCTTCAACTATTAAAATAGAAGTGGAAGAAGCAGTGAAAGAGGAGCCGATACCTTCAACTATTAAAATAGAAGTGGCAGAAGCAGTAACAGAGGAGCCGATACCTTCAACAGAAGTACCCAGTAGCAAAACAGAAGGGGAAGAAGCAGTTACAGACAAGTCGATGTCTTCCACAGGGGTTCCGACTCGCAATACAGAAGGGGCAGAAGCAGTAATCAAAGAGTGGATATCTTTAACAGATGCTCCAACTAGTAAAGCAGAAGTTGAAGAAGCAGTGGAATCAGATGCACCGCCACAAGCCACCCGTGCTTCGATTGTGAAAACTATGGAGAAAGTACCTGAAGAAAGCAAGGAATCAGCAATCTTCACTTCTTATTCCGCACAAGAGTCAGTCACGCCTGCTGAAAGTTATCCTCCAACCGATGTCAAATTAAAGCCAACGGGTCCCAATCTCCTGCGAAGCACCGTAGAAGAACCCGGTGTGTCATTTGACAAAGTCGAACCGCTGCCTTCTGAGCAAATCGCAGATTTGATTAACACGGTCCAGGAAACGTCAGACGAAGAGGAGCTTGCCAGCGTATTGAATAAGGCAAAAAAGAAAGTAGAGCAGCCTTCTGAAGTTCCGTCAGCTGACGCGGAGTCCTTATCAGTGACAACCACATCAGAGGCATTGTCAAAGCTTCACGGTGAGGATCTTCTCCACCTGATTAATAATGTTCAGGATACACACGAGGGCGGGATGCCGGACTTGGATTCACTGCTGGATGAAATAAGCCAATTATCCGATTTCAGAGAAGATAATGAAAAAGATATCGATAAACTACGTGAAATATTGAACATCGTCCAAAAACCACAAACTGCTGACCAGAGTGCAGCACCAACATCAGCCAGAATGCTGACTGCAAGTTCGGCACTTCTTCCTTACTCTAACAAGACAGAAAAGATCGACAAAGGACACGTAAAGGATAGATTGGGAGACAACCTAGAGGCCTTGGCTGATATCTTTGAGACCAATACCAAAATACCGAGTGAGGTCATCAACAAAATTGTTGACAAAATTGATGACCTGATGGAGGCACCATCTTCGGTGTATAATGAGACAATTCCACTAACTACGAGTCCAAATGAGGAAAAATTTATTCTTGACATGATTGACAGCCTCAAAGAATTCGAGATAAAACACGGCGATGAAAACCATCATCTCCAAGTCTTGAACGAGCTTTTTAATGGGGTATTGGAGTCAAATCAAGACGTCTTCGGGCATGAAATCAACAACCTGAATCGTCTGCTCAATCCTACCATTGCGTCTCCAGATACATCGGCGTCATCCTCCACAATGACCCCCAGCGAAGCTGCAACTACAACGGTTGCCAAGGCAAAGGTGCTGGACTTTTTGGGCGAAATATCGGGGCTGGCAGTCAATGAAAGGGCAAGAAGTAAAGAAGAGATGGACAACATCCATGACTTGTTAGAAATGGTTGGGGAAGCTGACAAGGATGTTCTGGGCAATGAGGTCAAGCAGTTACTCGGATTACTAATTCCCAGTACTGCGTCTTCCACTTTGCAGACGTCACCGGTTACAGTTATGCCGAAGAATTTGACGACTTCCCCGACTGTTCCTCAAACAGACATGGTTAGTTCTACCCAAGATAAAGAAGTATTGTTTCTGAACATGATTGATGAACTTGGCGAAAGCGGAAGGAAACAAAAAGAGCAAAACAACCGGCATATTCAAGAAATGGATGAGTTTCTCAGTGATGTCAAAGAGCCGAACAAAGACGAGCTAAATCGAGAAATCGATCGTCTAAGTCGGCTGCTGAATCCAGCAACAGTATCCACGAAAAAAATGGAGTCAACTTTGACGACTGGTTATGGTGAAGAAACTACGACGCCCTCTGGCGCGCTTGACAAGGAGAGGTTGTTGGACTTTGTGGGCGAGATAACGGGGATGGAGATGAATGAGAAGATGAAAAGTAAAGAAGAAATAAAATATATCAACGACATTCTCAGAAGTGTTGCAGAATCGGACGAGAATGTTCTTGGCAATGAGGTTCATCGATTACTACAGTTACTTGTGCCTATTACTGTTGCATCCGAGAAATTACAGACTTCACTCGCCACTTTACTGTCCACCTCACCTACAAGTTTCCCGGTCACACCTAAAACCGCGAGCCTAACTTCCCAAATTCCTACTCCAACAACAAGTGTTCAGTCAACGTTAGCAGAAGGAGCATTGCTTATCAACATGATTGGAAACCTCCAAGAAGTTGATAGAGATCAAGAATTGGGTAATCGTCTTCAGATTCAAGATTTGAGCGACCTATTCGACGACGTTAAGGAGTCAGACAAAGATATTCTAAGCCATGAAGTCAACCATCTGAACCAGTTGCTGAATCCAACATCCAGTGCAACTACAGAGCCATCTCATACGATGCCTGGGAGGGGAGTTACAACACCCAAAACAGGGACGAAGGAGTCATCAACAATTCTACCAACAGCTGCCTCAACGCCCATGTCAGTGGTGGAAAATGAGGAGGTGTTGGACTTCATGGACAAGATAGCGGTGCCGGTGATGAATGAGACAATCAGCAATCGACAGGAAATAGATGACATCGATGACATTCTAGGCAGGGTTCAAGAATCGGACAGGGAGGTTCTAGGCAACGAAGTAAATGAATTGCTCAAATTACTCGTGCCAAGCACCGTTGCAGTTCTGACTGAGCAGCCAATGACTACGTTTCAGACAGTGTCGACGGCTACAGTCAGCTCGCCTGCTTTCACAAGCCCAACAGTCAGCACCTCAACAGCACCCTCCGTAACTGGTGAAGGTGAAGCTCTCCTGGATATGATAGCGAAATTCGAAGAATCTACGCAGGAGCAGGAAGAAAATCAGTTTCAGATTCGGAAGCTCGACGAGCTTTTCGAGGACGTGGGAGAATCTGGAAAAGACGTCCTTGACCACGAGATTAATCACCTAAATCAGTTGCTGAACCTGGCAACTGTCTCCACAAGTTTGACAAAGCCAACATCCGCACCAAGCACCGCTGAAGTAACTGAAGTACCTGTGGTGCCCACATCACCAGTTGCCGCATTGGAAATGTTGAACTTAGTGAAAGAGATCGTAGGACTCACAGAGAATGAGACTCTAAGAGGAAGGGAAGAGTTAGATGGCATCAGTGCAATCTTCAAAAACATTCCCAAGATAAGCGGCAATGCTACTGGCGAGGGGTTCAGAGAGCTAATAGAGTCATTCCTTCCGGTTTCCACGCCGATTACAGGACGCACAGAGGAAACACCGGTGACAGTGCCATCAAAAGTCAGAGTTCCCTTTGCCAAGCCAACAATCCCCGGACAGTACCTACTAGATCTGCTTAATCGGACCGAACTCATCAGCCGCGAGAGTCTTGACAGTGAACTCCACAAAGATCTCAATCTGGTTGATGGCTTCTTGGAGACGTCAAAGCAGATGTCTAGCAAGGACCTTATGAGAGATGCTATTAAGCAGATTGAACTATTGTTGGAACAAAATATCACAACCCCAACTGTCATACCTTCAACGAGTCAGCCAATCTTAACTCATCCCAGCCTTCCCAGTAAAATAACAAATAACACAAAAGATCAGTTGTTGCTGGACCTTATTGAGACCATTGCAGAAGAACAAATGACGGGGGAGGGAAAAAGCAAAGAGATTCAGCCTCTCCAGATGATTTTAGAAGCTGCAGGACTTGAAAAAGAAGACATTTTGAGAGATGAACTGAATCATCTTGAAGCCATCTTTAATATCCAACAGCCAAGTACTCCAATGGAACGTGAAGAGGCTGAAAGAGTTACAAAGTCTTCTATCCCGTTTACCCCTAATTCCAATGAAAACATGCTCGATCTACTTGCAAGAATTCCAGACTTGGCAGGGAAGGACAAATCTGAGAGTGGACAGGAAATTGAGGACATCCAGGATGTCCTAAATGGAGTAGAGGAGTCAGACAAAGACGTCTTGGCTGATGAAATTAAGCACCTTGAGAAAATCTTACAACCGGCTGGTGCAAGCACATCACAGAGGCCCCTCTCGTCACGTGCTCCTTCGCCAACGTCCGCAATAACGAGTGGACTTGTGCCTTCGACAAGTCTTCCAAGCCTAATAACGAATGAGGCAAAGGATCACCTTTTGCTGGATTTAATTGAGGATGTTGCACAGGAAAAAATGCCACTCCAAGAAACGAAAGACATCCAGTCGTTGGAGACATTCTTGGAATCCGCGGGGCTGCACAAAGACGACATTTTGAGGGAAGAGTTGGCTCATCTTGAACAAATTTTCGTTGAGCATACAAGTGTCCCTACACTATTTGGTACCACACTCGCGGAGATGGAAACCGTTCTGACGTCTGGAAAATTTTCTACACCACCATCAACCACAAATACCAATGAAGTCATGCTTGATCTGATGGATGAAATTGCAGCCTTGGCAGGAAAGGATAAGGCTGATAATGTACAGGAAGTTCAGTACATCCAAGATGTTTTCGAAGGAGTAAAGGAGTCAGACAAAAACGTCTTGCCTGATGAAATTAAGCACCTCGAGAGACTTTTACAGCCGGCTGTTGTTAGTACCTCACAGAGGCCCCTCTTGTCACGTGTTCCTACGCCTGTCTTGCCATCGAAAAGTTTTCCCAGTTCAATCATGAATGAGACAAAGGATCACCTTTTGCTCGATCTTATTGAGGATATGTCACAGGAAAAAATGACTCCCCAAGAAACGAAAGAGATTGAGTCTTTGGAGACAATCATGGAATCCGCGGGGATGCACAAACAAGACATTTTGAGGGAAGAGTTGGCTCACCTTAAACACATTTTCTTTGAACGGACAAGTGTCCCAACATCATTTGGTACCACAATTGCGGAGATGGAAGCCGCTCTGACGTCTGAAAAAGTTGCTGCCCCACCCTCAACTACCAATGCCAATGAAGTCATTCTTGATCTGATGGATGGCATTGCAGCTTTGACAGGAAGGGATAAGGCTGATAATGTACGGGAAGTTAAGTACATCCAAGATGTTTTTAAGGGAGTAAAGGAGTCAGACAAAGACGTGTTGCCTAATGAAATTAAGCACCTCGAGAGATTCTTACAGCCAGCTGGTGTCAGCACCTCACAGAGGCCCCTCTGGTCACCTGCTCCTACGCCAACATCCGCAATAACGAGTGGACTAGTGCCTGTCTCACCTTCGACAAGTCTTCCCATCCCAATTACGAATGAGACAAAGGAACACCTTTTTCTCGATCTTATTGAGGATATTGCACAGGAAAAAGTGCCACTCCAAGAAACGAAAGAGATCGAGTCTTTAGAGACATTCTTGGAATCTGCGGGGCTGCACAAAGAAGACATTTTGAGGGAAGAGTTGGCTCACCTTGAACCAATTTTCTTTGAGCAGACAAATGTTCCAACATCATTTGGTACTACACTTGCGGAGATGAAAACCGCTCTATCGTCTGGAAAATTTTCTGCACCACCATCAACCACAAATGCCAATGACGCCATGCTTGATCTGATGGATGAAGTTGCAGACTTAGCAGGAAAGGATAAGGATGATAATGTACAGGAGGTTCAGAACATCCAAGATGTTTTCAAAGGAGTAAAGGAGTCAGACGAAGACGTCCTGTCTGATGAAATTAAGCACCTCGAGAGACTCTTACAGCCGGCTGTTGTAAGCACCTCACAGAGGCCCATCTTGTCACTTGCTTCTACGCCTGTCTCCCCATCGAAAAGTCTTCCCAGTTCAATAATAAATGAGACAAAGGATCATCTTTTGCTCGATCTTATTGGGGACATTGCAAAAGAAAAAATGCCACTCCAAGAAACGAAAGAGATCCAGTCTTTTGAGACAATCTTGGAATCCGCGGGGCTGCACAAAGAAGACATTTTGAGGGAAGAGTTGGCTCATCTTGAACAGATTTTCTTTGAACAGACAAGTGTCCCCACAAAATTTTCTGCACCACCCTCAACCACAAATGCCAATGACGCCATGCTTGATCTGATGGATGAAATTGCAGCCTTGGCAGGAAAGGATAAGGCTGATAATGTACAGGAAGTTCAGAACATACAAGATGTTTTCGAAGGAGTAAAAGAGTCAGATAAAGAAATCTTGCCTGATGAAATTAAGCACCTCGAGAGACTCTTACAGCCGGCTGTTGTAAGCACCTCACAGAAGCCCATCTTGTCACTTGCTTCTACGCCTGTCTCCCCATCGAAAAGTCTTCCCAGTTCAATAATAAATGAGACAAAGGATCATCTTTTGCTCGATCTTATTGGGGACATTGCAAAAGAAAAAATGCCACTCCAAGAAACGAAAGAGATCCAGTCTTTTGAGACAATCTTGGAATCCGCGGGGCTGCACAAAGAAGACATTTTGAGGGAAGAGTTGGCTCATCTTGAACAGATTTTCTTTGAACAGACAAGTGTCCCCACAAAATTTTCTGCACCACCCTCAACCACAAATGCCAATGACGCCATGCTTGATCTGATGGATGAAATTGCAGCCTTGGCAGGAAAGGATAAGGCTGATAATGTACAGGAAGTTCAGAACATACAAGATGTTTTCGAAGGAGTAAAAGAGTCAGACAAAGAAATCTTGCCTGATGAAATTAAGCACCTCGAGAGACTCTTGCAGCCGGCTGGTGTTACCACTAAACAGAGGCCCCTCTTGTCACGTGCTCCTACGCCAACGTCTGCAATTACGAGTAAACTAGTGTCTGTCTCACCTTCGACAAGTCTTCCCAGCCCAATTACGAATGAGACAAAGGATCACCTTTTGCTCGATGTTATTGAAGAAATCGCACAGGAAAAAATGCGACTCCAGGGAACGAAAGACATCCAGTCCTTTGAGACAGTATTGAAATCCGCGGGGTTGGACAAAGAAAACATTTTGAAGGAAGAGTTGGCTCATCTTGAACACATTTTCTTTGAGCAGACAAGTCTTCCCACATCATTTGGTACCACACTCGCGGAGATGGAAACTGTTCTGACATCTGGAAAATTTGCTGCACCACCCTCAACCACCAATGCCAATGAAGTTATGCTTAATTTGATGGATGAGATTTCAGCCTTGGCAGGAAAGGATAAAGCTGAAAATGTACAGGAAGTTCAGAACATCCAAGACGTTTTGAAGGGAGTAAAGGAGCTAGACAAAAACATCCTGAGCGATGAGATAAAGCACCTCTTGGGACCACTAGGGCCCCCTACGGCAAAAACCCCACAGAGGCCTTCCCTTTCACCTACAGTTTCCGAACCTTCCGGAATCACGGAGACTGAAGAAGTCAGCACACCACTTACACCAACAGCTCAGCTCATATCCACATCTGTAGTGCCTACTCCAGGACCAGTAGCTATGGGAAAGTTTATTATGCACTTTCTACAAGAAATAGGGAATATCAGTAAGAGTCGTCTTCAAAGTGACTTTAAAGAAGACGTCGACCTTGTCGATCAATTTGTGAAAACAAGTAACCTAGGCATCCGGGAGGATCTAGGCAAAGCAATCAATGATATCGGTGCCCTGATGAGCAAAGCTTTGATCCGAACTACGACACTTCAACCCACAGTTCAAACCGTAACGACAAGTGTTGCACCACCAGAGCTCTCTGAGGCAACAGTTGCTCTTGCCTCAGTCAGTACCCCTACGGTTGAAGTGAGGCACGAAGCCACCTTTAAGCCTGAAAATCAACAGCTTCTGGATTTGATAGCAAACCTGGGAAGAACCAACACTGAGACGATGAACGAGAACGGCCTGGAGGTGCAAAAACTTGAGGAAATTTTGGCGAAAGAAGGGAAATTGCGTGGCGACATTCTAAAGGAAGAGCTGGACCATCTTAATGACGTTCTGAATCCTGAACAATACTCGACGGAGACAACCAGGTTTCTGACGGTGACGCCCAGTCCAGAGGGAGGGACAACAGCAAGCACCCCGACTTTAACCAGCAAAGAGTTTGCAGGAAACCAGGCCTTACTGGACATTCTCTTCAAAGCATCTCCGCTCAACCAGGGGCAGTTGTTTTATGATGCTGAAGAGATGCAAGAAATTGCAGAAGTCTTTGCAAACCTGACACAATCAGACGAGGAATTTTTATTCGACGAAATTGCGAAACTCGATCACGGGTTGCACTATGGACAAGAGCTCACACCGGCCTACGACACCAATGAGCCGCTATCTACAAAGCAAGTCGCCCGGACTATTCCCCTGGTAATCCCAGTAACTCTGGAGAGCAGGGTCTCACCAACTGAGACCACTGAAGTATCACCAGGCACTGAAACAGATGCTGAAGCCTTTCTGGATACCCTCCTGCAATTGAGGGACCAAATCGAAATGGGCGTCAACTTGGATGATGTCAGCCGCCTAGGGGCCCTTACTGAAGAGCAACAAGACGAAGGTGCGCAGGAAGAGTTGAAGGAGGGGCTGGACTTTGTTTGGGATATACTCAAGGACGCTACAGCAAATCCAGCCACATCCCTACCTTTTCCAACCACTACAGTATTAGGGGTTCCTTCGACTTTAGCGGAGCACTCAACAACTCCGGCTCCGACCGCGACGGAAGGGAGCCCCACTACGCCGGTAACCTCACCGCTCTCTACTGCGTCCGAGGAGGAGTCGTTCCTGGACACGCTGCGTGATCTGGTTGGCAACGTGAACATGAACCTTCCTTGGGCGGACATCAAACGGGTGGGGGCGCTCTCTAAGTCCCTTGACAAAGGAGCCAAGCAGCAGGCAGTTGAGCAGCTTGGCTTCGTGGAAGACATTCTGAACGGAGTCAAGGAATGGGCGAACAAGACATCTGGTACTACACATGCGCCAAATGCGACATTCATGACATCAGAGGAGTTGCAGTCCCACAGTACAAAACCACAAATTCCAAGTAAGTGTTGTTTTCATTTACAGTTCTTTTTACCAGATAAAATGGCAATCTTTAACGTTACAAAGAACGCTCCAGGTGTTATAACACTGACACAGTTCTGACTCTTGCCTCGACAGCTGGGGTTGCGCATGCGCCATCTACCACGACCATGACGTCGCCCACAATGTTACGTCTGCTGACAAAAATAGTCGGCAGAAAGACATCTTTACGTTCAGGTACGTGTACTGGAAGAATAAAGAACATTTAAGTGGAATGCAAATAATTAGTTCTAAAGGTGTCTTTAAGTACTGTCGAGCAGTGACGTTTCATCTGGATGTTGACAGGCCAAAACCATTAAGAGGTCGTATGTATATCATCTGCATGGTTGTTTTCCACGTACTCTTTTTCACAAACCTAGAGCCACCTTTGCCCACGACTCCCTACTCCCCAATGGACCGGTGGACAGAGTGGTCAGCCTGGGGTGAATGCTCGGCTACCTGCGGCCTAGGTGAGCAGTCAAGGATCAGAGAGTGTCAACTCCTCATCGAAGGTCTGGTCATACCGGCCAGTGGTTGTGAAGGCAACCGAGAGGAGACAGTGGCCTGCGAGACACACCGATGCCAAGGTACGAATACATGGTCATGTCAATAAAAATACCCAACTACGTATATCAGTACTATGCCCATGTACACAATTCAGTAAGATACCCACGTGAGAATACATGTCAATTCAACGGCAGTTTTAATGAGACGCTTGGTTGAAGAAACAAAGCCGTTAATACAGTTCTGCCTCCGCTCCATATTTAAGGAGGGCAACGAGAATCCCGGGACATACCGTTATTTCGTTTTACCGTTTTGGATTTCCTCAAAAACAAAAACAGTCAACAATCCCGGGACATACCGTTATTTCGTTTTACCGTTTTGCATTTCCTCAAAACAAAAAAAGTAAACAAACCATTGACCGTTTTGTCGTTTTACAGTTTTGTAAAACGGTCAAACGGTATTAGGTCACAAAAAACAGTGACCTTTTTGTTGTTTTTCTTGATTGTTGAAAGCGATAAACGGTTAGTTGCTTCATTTCAGAGTGTTGTTTTACAAGAACATGACAATGAAAAACGGTCATTTTTTGATTTAGGTTCAGCAATTAAGCAATGCACCTAGGAATGTTGATGCGTCCTCATGGGATCGAGTCATTGCCTGGGACCCAAATTACCCTCCTCACATTTCGTTCTCACGACATAGTTTTCGAACTGGCTAATGAAAAGCCGCGCCGAACTCCAATTTCCTTCAAATATCTGCAACTGAATCGCGTGAGAAGGGGGTCAGGGTCACACCAGGAATCACACCACGCATTATGCCGAGGTAACACTTTTTCATGTAAAGCATGGTCCCCCTCCATCCCCCTTGCCCAGCACCACAAAATGCACCACGGACTGCTCACTATGACACTGAAATAAAAAAAAACAGTCTGTATTCAATACTGACTGTTTTGCTGTTTTTCAAAGTTATTTGTGTAAAACTGTAACACAAAAATCATTGATCGTTATGCTGTAATGAATTTTATTAAACTTATAAAACAGAGAAACCGTATTTATCTTAATACCGTTTGACCGTTTTACAAAACTGTAAAACGACAAAACGGTCAATGGTTTGTTTACTGTTTTTGTTGTGAGGAAATGCAAAACGGTAAAACAAAATAACGGTATGTCCCGGGATTGATAACCCGGGGCCGCGACAACCCGCCGCCGCGAAAGGGTGTTATCACGACTAACCAATATCGCCCACGGACTTGTCAGAACTAACAACGTCTAGGGAAACTCGTATTGGTTGTGTATTGCGCGCGCAACTCTGTGCAACTTCACTGGGCAGCTCTTTTGTTATCTGTAGTCGCATGCGCATTAGTTTCCCCCATTAGTTTCCCGTCGTCAAATACCAACCGACCTTAGCTCAATCAGTTAAGTCACCGGCTGGGACTGTCTGCGAAGTCCAGGTTATGCATCTACTCATAGGTACGTGGCTCTTTTGCTGTCTCGGCAGCAAGGCATAGGGTGCCGCCTCGTTTCCTCCCTTAACGGTGCTTGGCCCTCCGGGGTTACATGGATGGACAGGGAAGGAGGTGTGGTGGGCCGGGGAATCCGAGACCCAGGAAGAGCTCTATATGGGAGTTGGTAACCAATCGCGACCCCTGAATGCTTGGTCAACACCACATAACTTTTTGTTTTTCTTTATCTCATTATTTTTTTCATTGTCGAGGCTTTAGGCCTATAAGGTACAGTAAAAACGAAAAGGTTTTCTTCAAAAAGAAATTCGCCCTTAACATTTTTCCAGTTGGGCTACTGAAACAGACTCTTAATTTTAACAAGCCCGCATGTTTTTCTTTTAGTATCTCTTATAAACAAGATTGTACACACATGTAAAACATGTATCCTGATACATTTTTGTCAGTGATTAAAATAAACAGAGCATTTTTTTTTACACTAAACAAATAATTAAATAAGACACAAATTGATGCAGGTTTACTTTCTGAATTGAACGATTAATTTCTTCTGGACAGGTCTTTTCATCTTTGCCATAGCCCAATAATAATCACTGGCCAGCCGGGCTACTTAGTCTTGCCGGTCCCCAATAAAGTCGAACCCTGAATATATGAAACAGCTATATAAATATTTTAGTGTAAATAGAAAATGATCAACGATCACAATGATCATCTCTGCCTGCACGTGTCCCTATTCGCTACTGGGTTGGTGGGAAGCAAATATTGATATAAAGTGTCTTGCCCAAGGACAAATACACTACACTATATCAAGGCTGCTTGTGAGGACCGGGACTCAACTGCATCCAATTCACTCCACTTGGAGTCTTGCTATTGCCTTTTTGCATCCTCTGCTGCACTCCAGCAAGATTAAGGCCCAAAGTGAAGGCAAAAATCTTGACAAAAATAAACGCTTTTCTACAACTTTGCGGAAAAGCCAAACATTCAAACACTAGGTCTATACTATAGGCGAATTCAGCGAAGGGTTGCCTAATGTGGAGGGAAAAAATGACACATTTACTCCGTAAATAAAAATAATTTGACGCAGACATAATTATCATCAAGCGATTGACGCCCTTGACTACGTTACCAAAACAGAAAATTGTTCGCGAACATCTTTTCGCCCATTTAACACCAAAAACAAACTGCGCTTAGGCTTGACTGTTAAACTTGAATAGCAACCTCAATAAACTCGAAGTCATCACTGTACAAATATTATGTAGACAAATACAATTCTCTCTGATCACAACAGCAAAGAACCCCGTCATCTATCTTTAATCATAATATGAACACACGTAATTAACAGGAGCTGTTTCGGCGAGCTACGTCGCCGAAACAGCTAATTTTGCTCGAACTACTTTTCGTACTTTTACCCTAAACCAAACCTGCGTAGGCTTGACCGTTAAACTTAAATCCTTCCCTAAATTGACTGAGAGCGTCACCACAAATAATCGCCATTGAACAATGTACTCGTAACAGAATTCTTTCTAATCACTTACAGTACCGAGGAATTCGAACACGCCTAACTTTCTCTTCCAATATCAGGCGTTACACTATTGACAGCGCACTCTGTTACGTAATGTTTTTAGAGCGTTCATTGTTACGCCGAATCGCCTATTCAACTTCTCTCTGGATGGAGGAACCGCCCCTCTCTCACACTATTCTTCTTTTGTGGCTGCGTTTGTTTTTGTTTCTAAAGAAAGAAATGGATTTGGTGATTTCCTTTTGGCCCCCCCCCCCAAACTCTCGGGAAGAATATGCACAAGAGTTTAACCTGTTGAATGTTTGGACCAACATTGGTCTACAATCCATTTTGCCCAACGTTTTTACATATGATTGTCCGTAGTCACCTGTGGCATCTTGATGACAGAGCCAATTGGTTTTAACCGATTTTTTTTCTCATTAAGTAAAATTTTAGCAAGTTCCAAATGCATGCAGGCCTATTTCACTTTATAAATCTTGAGGTTTTTTTGAACTCCCTATAATTATGCGATGGAAGTAATTGATTCGTGCTTTAGGGCCTACACACAGCTGCGATTAACTGGGGAATTTTTGTTTCAGGACATAAAACGTTCATCATATTTTGGTACAATTTTTTTTTATAAGCTCTTGCGGAAGCTATGAACCTATCACATCCCTGCCCAGTTTATGAACAGTAGGTTGTTGGGTAATTTAGAAGGGGCTTGGAAAGAGTGTACATGCCGGGGCGTTTCTGTTTTAGTTTCAATACTGTATCTCGCTTCCAATGCAACAGACCCGAATACCATCTAAATACAGGTTGATCGGGTAAAGTGGTGTGTGCCCCATTCGCTCTTTGTATCGCGATGTTGGAACAAAAGCGGAGAAGCTGAACTGGCGACTTCGCGTTCAAAAAAGTTACGTAACGGCAGGAGAAGTGCATTGCACCTAAAAGTAAAAGAAAGTATCAAGTAACGTTTCCATGGTGAACCATTGTGAACGTATAAACACTGCCTTATGGGGTACCGGAACAATGGGAGGTACCCCATAAGGAATGACCACCGACATGCGGGGTACCGTTTGGTACCCCACAGGTTTTTCACGAAATAGATATATGGATTTTACTCAAAAACTAGGAATTTCCAAGGTGGGTTGGAAAAAAATGTTGTACACGAGAACAAAGGAAGTCCCCAAATACTGCAAGTGAGACTTGGCATGCTGGCAGCTTTTTTTTTATAAAGTCAGTGTCCCTAACCAAAATGGAAGACTTCTATTGTTTTAGCAATAGTGACTTTAACCTTTGACCTGTCGGCCCCAAAAGCAATAGCCTTCTTGAGACTACCAAGAACAACCCACAAACCAAATTTCAAGTTCCTAAGTAAAGCATTTCTCAAGTTATCGTGCTGACAAGAGCTAATCTAACCAAAAAATAACACAACTGAAGACACCCACGTTTGTTTATGGTGGAAATCGATGATTTCCTTTTGTTCCTCTTCCTTTACCCTTTTGTTTGTATACTAACTTTTTCGCAACAGCTCTCATTGGTTTTGTTCACGTTTTCCAACGGAGGGGTCCTTGATTTGGTTCCTGTCCTCGATTCACCGATGATGTTGCACGTGTTTGTCCTCGATTTACACCATAAACAAACGCAAGCATATATACAGACATACATACCTAAAGAAATACACACAGAAGGAATACATTCTGGAATTTGTTTCCGTGTGGAATTATTTCTTTGTTGTCGTGTACTAAAGTTTTCGAGTTTAAAAGTATACTTTCAAAATGCTCCTATTTTAACCAGAATGAATTTCCTGAGCAGAAATTTGACTTAATATCCCTTAGGCCTACACAAAATACTTCAATTTGCAACACATCAACACACCTCAATTCACATGTATCCAGAGGGTACCGTGCAACACATCCCTATCGCAATATCTCCCTCCGGCTTACAGCCAGGGGGATAAAAAGGGAGAAATACATTGTCCAAACACGTCCAAAGATGTCTCGTAAATGACGTTTTTTTAGCTGCTCCCATCGACGGAACTTGCAATATGTGTTTTTAAGACACCCTAAAATAACAGCATTGATAGGGAGCGTAAATAACACATTCTAATTAATTTTGTTGCTGTAGTATTA